TCACAGAGGAGTCAGTGCTCCTGTGGCAGGATAAGAAGACTCTCTGGGGACTTGCGAGAAGATGATTATTCCAGAGGCAGGTCCTGAGAGCACGGGGGAGAGCGGAAGTGCCTCTGCTGAGGTCTGCTGGACACGGGCTCCTCCCTGCCGAGCACGGAGGACCAGTTCCCGGCTCTGTGAAAACTCCTGGGTGCCACCACGGAGAGTCCCCACTTCCCAGTGCACCCGAGCCCTGCCAGGCCTCTCGCGGGCCCTCCTCCTGCCACTGTCCACTTATTCCGAGAGGTCAGGGACCAGTAATCACCAGATTATCCTGCCTTCTTCATCACTGTCTGACTCTTATGATAGCTGACTTGAGGAGTATAGACATGCACACAATGTCTATTAGCCTCGCTCCAGCCAGTCGTTCATCCATCTTCATCTTCCATCCTCTCCTCCCCAATCCTTTCCTAACACCATTCCTTCCTCCATATCTTCCTCCCTTCAGTCCGAGAATTTAATCATCCAGCTTGCCAATTATCCACCCAACCTATCACACAGCCAGCCAGCCAGGCAGCCAGCCAGCCCTCCTCCCGTGAGCAACCACCGCATGCTACGTACAACCTATGCTGCGAACTGGACACACACATGAAAGGCAGCCCCTGGCCCTAAGTAGCCCACATGTAGTTCGACAGAGGAATCAGAGAGACAAAAAATGACAAGCTACTCCATTGCTCAGATCAGGAACGAAGGACAAATAATTGTAATATATATTCCTGACCGCTGTAACAATCAACATTTCTGAAACACATTCTGGTTTGACCTGGGCACAGCCCTTGCTCTGTGCCCAGAGCCACTAGAGCCATCCTGGTGGAACTGTGCTCTCAACCCTTTCCAAGCTTCTTTTCCATAGAGAATGGGGCATCAAGCACCTGCTCGCCATGTCTGGGGGCTCCGGTGTCCAGGGCACCGGCTCACCGCTGGTAGGGCCAGGGAAGGAGGCAAAGCTGGCAGGAACTCCTCAGCAGAAACTCGGGTTTCAGTCTCCACGCAACCATGACACAACTGTGGGACCTTGGACAATTACATAACCTCACAAAGACTTCATTTCTCCTTCTATAAATTAGAGATGATAAGAATATCTACCTTGGAGGGAGGAGCACGTAGAGGGTACCCAATAGCTGTCTTCAGATCCTAATGCTTTACTGATCATTTATTTAAAGATATTTCACCAAGGATCTTAATCAAGGCTGTTCTTGCAAAGGGTATGATGAGGTAAGTGGAAATGAGCTCAGGGAGGATGAATTCAAAATCCAGGTACCCCTGGTTTCCAGCGATGAAGCATGCGTGTTTCTCACCTGTAATGGGATAGTAACCATATCTACCTCCGAGAGTTGTGAAGTTACTGCATATAAAGTGCTTAGAGCAGTGTCTGTCACACAGGAAGCATGGCAGGAGGGTTCTCAGTGGGTGAGCTGGGAGGCGTCCCCACTCTGCACAGTCCTTACCAGGTCCCAGGTTTCTTACATGTAATATCTATTTTGTCTTCATCTCAATCCTGACAGAAAGAATTGATTCTTTGGGTCCTTTTTGCCCCACTGAGGGAGCACACATTTTGCAAGGGATCTCCAGGGAGGTGGCCCTCCTTGTTCAAAGGCCAACCCAGAACACGCGCTCAGGGCACAGCCTCACAGTGCTTGGCAGGAGACTCCAGTTCCTTGTGGGTTTTGTTTACAGCTTCTGATGAGGGACCTCAAGGGTGTGTGTGTGAGTCTGTGTGTGTGTGAGACTGTGTGTGTGTGAGTCTGTGTGTGTGAGTCTATGTGTGAGAGTCTGTGTGTGTGACTGTGTGTGGGAGTCTGTGTGTTTGTGGCTGTGTGTGTGAGTCTGTGTGTGAGTGTATGTGTGTGACTGTGTGTGAGTCTGTGTGTGAGTCTGTGTGTGAGTGTATGTGTGTTACTGTGTGTGTGTGAGTCTGTGTGTGTGTGAGTCTGTGTGTGTGAGTCTGTGTGTGTGTGAGTCTGTGTGTGAGTGTATGTGTGTTACTGTGTGTGTGTGAGTCTGTGTGTGTGTGTCTGTGTGTGTGTCTGTGTGTGTGTGACTGTGTGTGTGTGACTGTGTGTGTGAGTCTGTGTGTGTGTGGCTGTGTGTGTGAGTCTATGTGTGTGAGTCTGTGTGTGTGAGTCTGTGTGTGTGAGTATATGTGTGTAAGTCTGTGTGTGACTGTGTGTGTGTCTGTGTGTGTGAATCTATGTGTGTGTGAGTCTGTGTGTGTGTCTATGTTTGTGTGTATGTGTATGTGTGAGAGTCTGTGTGTGCATGCAGAAAGAAAAACAGGATCGAGGTCTACCATGTAGTGTTTTTGTGTGAGAAGGCCTCAGCTAGTGCTTGTCAGTGATGGGAAATGGGGGCTGGGGCCCAAGGAGCCAGAAGTAGGGCTGGACCCCGGGGAGCTGTAAACTCAGAAGGATGCTCCATTCTCTGCCTGCTTCACAGAGTGGGAATTCACACGCTACTAGGAGTTCCAGCCGAGCCCTCCTGGCCAACCCTGCTTCCCTGGCTGTCTGGTTTCCGCTGCTCCCAGGGACTCAGGCTCTAGCCCCTGGAGGCTCCAGCCAAGCACACGGGCCTGACCCTCCCCTGAGGCAGTGGCTTGTCTGATGGGTGCAAGAGAGAGAGCTCTTCACTGACGATGACTGTGGGCTTCTGAGAACTCAGGGAGGCCCAGTCCTGTCAGTAGGGCAGAGGATAAAAGAATGCCAAATCTGACGTGGCCTTCAGTCTGAGGTCTACCTGCCCCAGCTCTGTTGTCCCTTGGGCCAAAGAAAGCACTCAAAGGCTGGTTGAACAGACGGGGTCTGGGAGCCAGCCACGAACAGTTGCCCTGGGGAAAGATGAGAAACTGAAGGCACAGAAAATGTGACAGACTTACACTAGGCCTCTTGGCCAGGATGTGGAGCAGCAGAGTCCAGCCCAGCTTGGTGGGACTCGGGTCCACATTCTGAAATCCTGTGCTAACAGTCCTCCCTTATACGACCTGGGCATCCTGGCTCTGGGCCACCTGAATTCCTCATGGGTCCTTCTGCTGGGCTTTGGCAACTCAGCTGCTATTGAACCCATCACAGTCTCTTTATTTTCTTGACTTCTCACAAACACAGAGATAGAGTCGTGACATTTCAAGGACCTTCAGAGACCATAGGGCCCACCCCCTCATGTTGTAGAAGTCTGGTCCTAGCTCAAGGTCACAGATTCCTGCGGGGACCAGGAATCTGGAGCTCCAGCTATTCAACTAGGGTTCTTCTTGGGGGGCACAGCGTGGCAGCTGTTTGAGGGAGCTGCCCAGGATTTCAGAGCTAGATTTTGCATCGGAATCTGGCTTATGGGCACCACCATTGTTAGTGACATGGAAGCGGTCAGGGACAGCCAAGACAAGGAGTCCAGGGCTGAGGAGGAGGGACGCTCAGGGGAACCCTGGAAAGCAGTGACCCGAGGCCTGGGAGCAGTCACACTTAAGTCCAGATGTGAATATTTTGCTCTGTGTAGTCACTCCTGTCTTTAATCTGCAAGTTTTCAGTAGATCGACACATTTTTGGGTTGCTTAACCCTTATAGTCCACTGCTGGCAATGCTTTGGGGGAACTGTCCACACTTGGTAGGAGCCGCAGCAGGACCGGGGCTGCAGCGGAGCACTGGGTTTGGGGAAGGCCAGCGGTCACCGCAGAAGAGCAATCTGGGGCCACTGAGAACAACTGAGGGGCAGCACCCACCATGCCCAAGACATTCCTGGAGGGGGGCTCGATAAAACCCCGAGCTGGCCGCCTCCAGCCAAAGACATGGGGGCTTGGCCCACTGTCGTTTACAAATTCAAGGGCTTCCTAAGGCTGCCAAATTCTGCAACACCATGAGCTAGAGACATGGAGATACAAGAGGCCATTCTTTTCTAAGTATTTATTATCTAAGTTCCCAGAATTATGATGTGTAAGAAAACAAATGTCATCGTAACATGAAAATATTCACTAAGAATCTTCCCATTTGTCAAACGAATGCTCGCGCGTGCATTCTTCCCTCACTTAACAAGCGTCGGTGCCTTCTGGCGGAGGCAGTTGGGATGACTGTCAGATATAACGCGATGGTGCAAGTTCAGTGCCAAGTTCATGAGGTCAAGGAAAACTAGGTTGGAGAGCTTCACGTGCAAGGTCTGGGACCAGTGAGGAGCAGATGGAGCTGGATTAGTAACAAATGAAGAATGAAATTATGAGGATGAGGAAAGACAGGTTCTTCACAAGAGAATGATTTGAATATTGAAGGTTTGAAAGAGGTCCTTGGGAAAACAAATGAAGATCTAAAATGTTAAACAAACAGAATCTCTGAACGAAGGCGCTATACAGTACAAAGTGAAGGAATGAATGGTATCATGTTAACAGGTCGCCTTGTTGGTATAAAAGTAAAATACCCACACCAAAGTCAACACAGTTGATTAATGCTTTGTTCATTCTGAAAAGTGACATATAATCGATATTTTGTAGTAAAGATAGCTAAAATAACTTGCTTTTATAATCTCATTGGTACATTACAATCTCAATGAGACCCTTTAACTTGCACCGTTTCCTTTTTCATAGTATAATTTTGCTGAAAATCTTTATCTCTATTTACTGTGAAAATTTTGATCTTCATTTTAAGCAGATTCACTCTAAGTGACCCTTGTTGGTGATCATGTCCCTGACATGAGGAGGTTCTCCTCCAAGGAGGAGCCTACAGGGTTAGGGTGCTTTGATGTCCCAGGAGGCCTCAGACACAGCCTAGGAGGCTCCACTCTCGGGGTATGTGGGGGCCTCAGGGAATTCAAAAGAACTTTGTGTGTTTATTCCTCAGTGTGGATGCTGTACACCTTCCCCAGCCGCCCACTGCAGCCTGCACGGGCTGTCGGCAAACCCCCTGGCCAGGCTGGGCACTGTGGCCTCTTCCCAGGGTGCTCAGCTTGGCCCCAGCCAGGCTAGCTGCAGGCAGGGAGGGGGCACTTACTTGGCCGGCGGGGCTCTGGGCTGCCTGTGGCTCTCCGGGGGGCTCCTCATCCTCGGGAATGTGGGGCATGGCAGCCTTGGCAGGAGTGGCCGCGGGGGCCCGGAACCTCTGCTGTGTCAGCCCCAAAGATGCTCCAAGAGGCCTGGGCTCCGCAGGCTGAGGAGATGCCAAAAGGACAGGTCAAATCCACCCCCGTCCCTGACCCAAGCTGGGTTCCATTTCCAGAGAGAGCTGGCTTGAGTTTGGTCAACACCACAGGTGGGGAGAGAGGGCATTTGGAATCGCATTCCCCCTGTTCACTAGCTCTGTTTACAAAGCCAGAGGCAGCCATAGAGATTTCGCATCTAATTTGGTCCTCACAGTAAACACAGCTATCCCCAGAAGGAGAAAAGTGCTTCAGCCTCCTCAAAGCCCTAGCTGGTGGAGGACACTCCACAGGGACCAGATGTACTTGTCTACCATTTATTGAGCACCTACTGGGTGCCAGCCACTGTCCTAGGAGCATTGCCTAATTTAATCCTCACGATGACCTCTGATGCAAGCGTTAACACTCACGTTTTATAGATGAGAAAACTGCTTTAGAGAGTGACAACCACTTACCCAACTCATAAAGAACCATGCATTTGAATCTAGATCTTCCTGATTTTGAGACCAGGGCTCTTTCCGCTATACCACAGCCTTCCTTGGCCGGGTGAGGGAAGAGGAAGGGGTGGTATTTCCTGCCTTCCTGCCCCACGGGTCGCCTCACACCCTTCAGCAGCATTTCTAACACTCAGTACGGGGCTGTCTGACTTGTGGACGACCTCACTGGGCCTGTCAGCCCTGCTAAAGCTGTGATGCTGGATGCTTGGCCTGCGTGGATCTCATGCGCCTTGTGCAGTGCTCACCCCAGAAAACTTGGGCTGCCTCCCCCTCCCCATGGTATAGCAGCCTTGAGGCCTGGCTGAGACTGACCACAACCAGCAGCATCTCAGCCATCTTGCCACAGTGATTGGCTCAGGGACAGACAATAGATTTAGCCTGAGCCAATGAGCACGTGGCAGTGTCTGGGGCTCAGGTGCTTTCTCTTGCTCCGGGTGGTGGAGTGCACAGACCTGACCCTGGTGCTGCTGATGTCATTTTGCTTCCATGAGGGTACAACTGGCACACATGGGGGACAGGGCACAGTCAACAGACCTTCAGGGAAATGGAGCTGGGGCCCTGATCCGGGTTTACCTGCACGCTGAACTCTTTCTAAATTAGCCGTTACATAAACAAATCTCTTAGTGTGTACATCTGTTCAGAGTTTACTTGTAATGACTAACTGCTCTTTCATGTTTCTTGCCAGTCAAGGGGCCTAAGACCATGATCTCTCCAACAGACCCGAACCAATGGGTCTGGCTCTTCTGCTTCCTCCTAGCAAAGGAGACCAGTGGTGCTGGGTCTCTATCTGGAGAGACAGGATAGCAAGGTAGAAAGGGCGCAGGCTTTGAAACCAGGTTCCTGGGTTGGAGTTCCCACTCTGCCACTCAGGGTCTGTGTGGCCTCTGAGCTTCGGTTTCCTAGTCGGGGGAACAGAGACAAGAATGCCTCCCACGAGGACGCTCCAAGGATGAAATGAGGTAGCGTGCCCCATGCAGTAGGGCTCCCAGAGGCCATGTAGGTGCAGCAGGTCTGCAGCCCAGGAGGCTTGGCCAGAGTCCAGAGGGCTCTGCCTGGCTGCTTCCCACCTCTAACGCCTTCAGGTCCCTTTCCCCTAGTGGGGTGTGGACACCTTCACAGACCTTCAGTACCAACGACTAGTCTGGTTCTACAATTTCAGAGGTTCCCTGAAGGAGCTGCTCTGCTGGACAGCAGATGAAAACCACCAGACACAGATAGGGTCATCTTTGGACCCAGTCCTCAGCCACGGCCAGGGGGCTGCTGGGACACACATGCAAAGAACAAAGGCCACGCTCTTGTACTGAGTACCCCTACGTCCTGGGTCCTAGGCAAGGTACAGACTGCTGGAGGCGGCAGGGGGCAAAGCCAGAGAGGCCCGCCAGCTGCCATGACACGTGACCCCGACTAAGCTCCCGATGCAGGCAAGAGGTTTGATTCCTCAGGGGTAACCAGAGTTACCCAAAATTTCTGTTGATTTGTATTTGAAGACTAGAGAACTTTAGCCCGGGGGTTGCTTGATGTGACTGTCATCTTGACCTCATCCTTTTCTGCAGTGGAAAGGTAGTCCCCCTTCATCTCTGAAACAGTGTGGGTGACCCCTACTGGACAGCTCAAGAAATCTCGTGTCAAGTAGAATATCCATGAACTGAGCATTTCTTCCTTCATTCACTCACTCACTCACTCACTCACTCACTCACTCACCACAAACACTCACTTTACACCCACTCTGCCAGGCCCTGTGCTAGGTGCTGGGGACATGAAGATGATAAAGATGTGGTCTTGGCCTTCAAGAAGAACAGAGTCTGGTGGCAGGAGACAGTTGGAAAACAGCATAATGGAGTAAATCATTTGAAAGTGAGAAGTTGCGGGATCTGAGAAAAAGGTTCCTAACCATGGAAGTTGTGATAGGTGGAATACAGTTGTAGTGAGGGTTCTACATTAGAAATGGTGTTTGAGCTGAGCCATGAGCACTGACATGCTGAGTGGAATTCCCTGAACAGACCAGCGGGAGGCCTAGAGAGGGAGATGAGACAGGAAGGGAGAAGCCATGCTGGACAGACTGAACCCAGCTCTCAGGAATGCGAGCTATGTGGCCAGGTCATGTTGTCCCCCATCCCAAATGGCCACTACATAGATAAACAGAGCTTTGTAGTTGCCTGACAGTGAACTCTGTGATTAATTTCTAATACCTTGATTTGGACTTCAGCAGCAGTGGTATCAATGGTGCTGATAACAAGGTAGCGAGAGTATCCACAAACTCAGTGCTATCTGGGAATTTGGCTGCACCACTCAAGAAACCACTTAAAATGATGTGATGTATGTGCAGGTCCAGGCTGTCTTAAAAGGAGTATGATTTATAAAACACGGGAAGTGACTGTTCCACTTTTTTATGTCTTAATCTACACAAAGTATATTATGCTCTGAATGCTATAAAGCATTCTGACAAATTGGCGATGTTCAGAAAAGGGAAGTAGGATATAGGGAGACAAGAAGTTGTGTTTAAAGAGCTAAAGATCTTTAGCCTGGAGAAGAGAAAGTTCAGGGAGGAACGAAATATCTTCTCAGATATTTGAAAGCCATTCGGGTAGTTCTATTGTTCCCAAAGGGCAGGTTCATGAACAACGAAAAGTCGGAGCAATGGAAGAGAAAACTTTCTAGTGGTTGGAACAATCTGAAGATACAATGGACTGCTCTTTCAGGTAGTGAGCTCTCTGTTCCGGGGAGAGTTTTGGCAAAGGCTGGGCAAGGGTCACAGGGTTTCTACCCACTTCAGGGGTCTTTTCCAACCCTGAATGTCCCTAACATCCTGGACTCTTTTAGTCACAATAAATCCCAGATTTGATGGTCCTATCCCATAGGATTCTGGGATCATGATATTCCAAAATCACATCAGAAATTTCTGCACTTTTTTTCCTCTGCCTCCTACTCCTCAAAAAAGACCTTAATTCAGTCCCTGGGTCAGAAAGTAAAATAAAACAGAAATGAATTAAGTCGTACAAGCACTGAAAGGTGTCAGCTGCTGCAGGATAAAGCAGAGTAGAGGCTGGCTGCGGTCCCACACTTGACAAATCGGAACCCCAAGTTGCTCAGGGGGAGTCCCAGCAGCCACGCCTGCCCAGGCCATTCCCACGCTGCTCCTGCCCCTTCGCTTTCTCTCCCATCCATTATTATAAACTTACTGCTTAAAATAGCAAGGTAAAAGCTGAGTCCCTCCCCCGGGGTGACATCTGGGTTCTGCTGGAGTTCGTGGGCATGCGGACCTCGCATCCATCACAGCAAAGTTTAGAATACAATCTCCAGGAAGTGGTGATCTAGAGCACCGACCCATAAAAGGGAAAAATATTTGGTAATGTTTGGTCTCCAGCCGCTCCTTCAACGCATTTTCAAGGCCCTTCTTGCTGCCTCTCTGGCCTGGTCAGTAAAGGGTCAGGTGGGTTGTTAGCCAATCAGCTCTTTGGATTCTACTCATTCTGCCCCCAGCCACCAGTGTTTAAGTTTAACCTGGACTGTTTTACAGGAAGGAAAACTGAGGTATAAAGAAGAAAAGCAACCTCACTAGGTCCAGTTGTCTTTGTACCTGGTGCAAATTATCTGAGAGCCTCTGACAGTGTGTAACTGAAAAGGCCAACAGTCTCTAAACCATATTTAAATATGTCATCTGCCCCTGGACATGCTCATGGAAGAAAGCAAACTAACATACTTCTTTGATTCTTCCATTCGTCAGACATTTTTAGGTTGCCTACTGAGTATCGGACACTTATGCTAGGTGCATTTCAAGTGCTATGTTATTTAACCCCCATGAGATGGGTTTTATTGTTTCCATTTTACTTAATAGGAAACTAAGAATCAGAGAGGTTCAGCAACTTGCTCAAGATTACACAGCTAATAAGTGGCAGGGCAATGATGATAACCCGGGAGAGTCTGATTCTAATGCCCATCATCTTTCCCCTCTTCTACTCTGCCTCCTCCACCAGGGGTTCTGCCAGACTGTGGCAGCAGAACCCAGGGTGAGCACTTGCCCCGGAACTAGAGTGTGCATTCCCTGTGGAGCTAAGGGTGGTGATGGGGCAGGGGGGAGCAGCAGGTTGTCAAGCCAGAGGTCTTATGAGGGCAAAAGAGCAGGTGGACAGTGTGAGGTTGTATGACTCCCATTATGGGGGCGCGAATTCACCTGTTCATCCATCCGTCTGTCTGTCTATCCATTTAGCTACTTGCCTTCTGACTTTTCCATTTACACAACTAGTCCATTAGTTTGTCCATCCAACCTTGCAGCTCAGAGAATCCCACGCTTGTTATGTCAACAGCACAAGCTCTGCCCCTAGGAGTGGCCACTGAAGGACCCTGTGGCTGTGGGCAGAGAACGCGGCCAGGGGGCAGGCGAGGCTGCTCTGGTGGGGGCCACACGGAAGCCGAAGGAGCACTCCCTTCTGCACATGTCAGCTGCGGGGCCACCTATGTCCCAGCAGGCACTCGGCCATCCCCAGGGGTCATGATTTA